AGGTGACAAATGGAGAAACAGGTGATGGATTATTTCAGCTGTGAGAAAATGTGCCTGAAACCGAAAGAGAAAAACAAAACATTAGACCCCCACCGCCCACGACGGTCACCTCCAAAAGAAAAGAAGAGAAGAGAGAGAGAAGAGGAGACGCGCAGGAGGTCAGACCCCAAACGAAAAGAAAAGAAGAGAAGAGAGAGAAAAAGAGTGAGAGAGGGAGGGAGAGAGACCCACGACGGTCACCTCCAAAAGAAAAGAAGTAAGAAAGAGAGAAGAGAGAGAAGAGGAGAGAGGGACCGAAAAGAAAGAAGAGAAGAGAGAGAAGAGAAGAAGAAGAAAGAGAGAAGAGAGAGAGAAGAGGGAGAGAGAGACCCACGACGGTCACCTCCAAAAGAAAGAAGAGAGAGAGAGAGAAAAAGAGAGAGAAGAGAGAAGGAGAACCCACGACGGTCCCTCCAAAAGAAAAGAAGAGAAGAGAAGAGAGAGAAGAGAAGAGAGAGAGACCCACGACGGTCACCTCCAAAAGAAAAGAAGAGAAGAGAGAGAGAGAAGAGAGAGAAGAGAGAGAGAAGAGAGAGACCCACGACGGTCACCTCCAAAAGAAAAGAAGAGAAGAGAGAGAGAAGAGAGAGAAGAGAGAGAAGAGAGAGAGAGACCCACGACGGTCACCTCCAAAAGAAAAGAAGAGAAAGAGAGAGAAGAGAGAAGAGAGAGAAGAGAGGAGAGAAGAGAGACCCACGCACGTCACCCCAAAAAAAAAGAAGAGAAGAGAGAGAGAAGAGAGGAGAAGAGAGAAGAAGAGAGAGAGAGAGACCCACGACGGTCACCTCCAAAAGAAAAGAAGAGAAGAGAAGAGAGAGAGAGAGAGAGAAGAGAGAGAGAAGAGAGAAGAGAGAGAGAAGAGAAGAGACCACGCGGTCACCTCCAAAAGAAAGAGAGAAGAAAGAGAGAGAGAGAGAGAGAGAGAGAGAGGAGAGGAGAGAGACCCACGACGGTCACCTCCAAGAGAAAAAAGAAAAGAAGAGAGAGAAGAGAAGGAGAAGAGAGAGAAAGAGGAGAGAGAGAGAGAGAGAGAGAGAGAGAGACCCACGACGGTCACCTCCAAGAGAAAAGAAGAGAAGAGAGAGAGAAGGAGAGAGAAAGAAAGAGAGAGAGAGAGAGAGAGAGACCCACGACGGTCACCTCCAAGAGAAAAGAAGAGAAGAGAGAGAGAGAAGAGAAGAAAGAGAGAAGAGAGAGAAGAGAGGGAGAGCCCCACGACGGTCACCTCCAAGAGAAAAGAAGAGAAGAGAAGAGAAAGAAGAAGAGAGAGAGAGAGAGAAGAGAGAAGAAGAGAGAGAGAGAGAGAGAGACCCACGACGGTCACCTCCAAGAGAAAAGAAGAGAAGAGAGAGAGGAGAGAGAGAAGAGAGAGAGAAGAGAGAGAAGAGAGGGAGAGAGAGAGAGACCCACGATTGTCACCTGAAAGAGAAAAGACTAGAGGGAGGAGAGAAGGAGGAGGAGAGAGAGAGAGAGAGAGAGAAGAGAGAGGGAGGAGAGAGGGAGAGAGACCCCCACTATTGTCACCTGCAAGAGAAAAGAAGAGAAGAGAGGGAGAGAAGAGAGAGAGAGACAGACCGCCGCTATTGTCACCTGCAAAAGAAAAGAGAGGGAGGAAGAGAAAGAGAGCAAGAGAGAGGAGGAGGAGGAGAGAGAAGAGGAGAGAGAGGCTCCTGCTACTGTCACCTGCCTGGAAGAAGAGAGAGAGGGAGGAAGGGAGAGAGGAGAGGAGAAGAGAGGGAGGACGAGAGAGAAAATAAGGGCAGAGAGAGTAGAGAAGGGGAGAGAGAAAAAGGAGAGGAGGAGAGACAGAGAGAGGAGAGAGAGACAGGTGACAGTAGCAGGGGTCTGTCTCTCTCTCTCTCCTTCTCTCCTCCTCTTCTATCTCTCTCTCTCCCTCCCTCCTTTTCTTTTCTCTTCCAGGCAGGTGGCAGTATCCTCCTCTCCTCTCTCCTCTTCTCCTTCTCTCTTCCTCCTCTTCTCCCCTTGTCTCTCTCTCTCTCTTCCTCCCTTTCTCTCTCCCTCTCTCTCTCTCTCTCTCTCTCTCTCTACACCCCCGCTTCTGTCACCTGCCTGGAAGACAAAAAACAGGGCGGGAGAGAGAGGGAGAGAGGGAAGAGGAGAAAAGAAAGAGAGTGGAGAGAGAGAGAGAGAGAAGGAGAGAAGCAGAAGAGGGATAAAAGTCGTCACCTGCCTGCAAGACAAAACCCAGGGATGAACAGGACGGGTAAATCCACTTTCTGTGACAATATGAAACGATTTGAACTTCAAATACGATTTAATTTGTCTTATTTTTGTTTCTGTCATTAAAAACAAAATTATAACACGACTTAAAGCTCCAAGAGTCAGATTTGCGTCACATAAAACCTTTAATGAACATGTTTTAATTAAAATATTTCTGTTTTGTTTGTTCTGGAGCGAGGAGAGAGTGGAGCATTAATCCCCAACTGTGACCTGCCGCTGTTTCCTGAGAGACAAAGAAGTGGGTGAAAAATACGTCCGTCTCTCCCATTAGTCTCGGGTTATTGATGATAAACATTAAAGCGGCGGTGAGGGGCCCGCAGCGGGGTCCGCGGACGCCATTTTGAGGACCGCGGGGGCCAAAGCACCTGTCTGACGATGGATGGACAGAGCGCAGAGAAAGAAAGAATAACACGGGGAATGATGGATGGAGAGAGAGAGGGAGGAGCTCAGAGCGGGTCTAGACCTGGTTTAGTCCTGATTTAGTTCTGGTTTGGATTTGGTTAAGTCCTGGTTGAGTTCATGTTTAGTCCTGATTGGATCCTGGGTTTAGTCCTGGTTTAATCCTGGTTTAGTCCATAGTCTTGGTGTAGTCCTGCTTTAGTCCTGGTTTGGACCTGAAGTCCTACGTAGTGGAGTCTTGGTTTAGTCTTGGTTTAGTCCAAGTTATTACCTATTTGGTGAATAGTTTAGTCCTGTTTTAGTCCCGGTTTAGTCCTGGTATAGTCCTAGTTTAGATCTGGTTTAGTCCTGATTTAGTCCTGCTTTAGTCCTACTTGAGTCCGAGCTTAGTCCTGGTTTAGTCCTGGTGTAGTTCTACTTTAGTCCTGGTTAAGTACAGGTTTAGTCCTTGTTCAGTCCTGGTTTAGTCCTAGTTTAGTCCTGTTATAGTCCCTGGTTTAGTCTTGTTTTAGTTCTGGTTTAGAACTGGTTTAGTCCTGGTTTAGTCCTGGTTTAGTTCTAGTTTAGTCCTGCTTTAGTCCTGGTATAGTCTTCGTTTAGTCCTGGTTTAGACCTGGTTTAGTCCTGGTTCAGTTCTGGTTTAGTCCTGGTTTAGTTGCCTGCTTTAATCCTGGTATAGTCTTCGTTTAGTCCTGGTTTAGTTCTACTTTGTCCTGGTTTAGTCCTGGTTTAGTCCTGATTTAGTCCTGGTTTAGTCCTGGTTTAGTCCTGGTATTAGTCTTTTAGTCTGTTTAGTCCTGGTTTAGTTCTGGTTTTAGAACTGGTTTAGTCCTGCTTTAGTCCTGGTATTAGTCTTCGTTTAGTCCTGGTTTAGTTCTGCTTTAGTCCTGGTTTAGTCCTGGTTTAGTCCTAGGTTTAGTCCTTGTTTTAGTTCTGGTTTAGTCCTGGTTTAGTTCTGGTTTTAGAACTGGTTTAGTCCTGCTTTAGTCCTGGTATAGTCTTTTAGTCGTTTAGTCCTGGTTTAGTTCTGCTTAGTCCTGGGTTTAGTCCTGGTTTAGTCCTAGTTTAGTCTTGTTTTAGTTCTGGTTTAGTCCTGGTTTAGTTCTGGTTTAGTCCTGGTT